ATTAAAAAAACTCTTCTATACATAATTATATGAACTCTGATGACAGACAGGCCTAGCAACCACTGAGTAAAAATAACATTGATTAAACTCAAGAGCTGACTTCAGAGAGCGCTTGACAAATTCATTCATCACTGAGATTTTGACACACAAAAAACTACTTAAATGCACCTGAAACAAAACCTGATTCTTCTTTGCTCTTCTGTGATGTTAAATTTGAATCGCGTTTGGAAAAATAAACAGCATCGTACCAAGTTAAGTTTTGTAACTGAAAATACTGAGCAGAACTGTTTTGGTGGAAGGAATCAGGGGCTAACAGCACAGCTCTCGATGTGTCACACATTCAGTGAAAATCCCAGAGTGTTTTCCTTTCTCCTGAATTCAAGTCAGCTAATCTCCTTTCTGCATTACACAACAGCTCATGTAATCCTAAATTTATCACACCAGTACCCCATCGTAACAGTTCTAAGTTTCACAAAGAGTCATATCATGCCTCATCTTTGCCTCTTTCATGAAGGAAAACTTTTCAACAATCCTGAAAAATAAGCAGATGTTTCATTCAGGAAATTTTGGTGTTAAAGCAGTAGTCCTTTCCTCGGAATTCTCCCAAACACAAGCCCACAACCACACCAGTTCAGGATTCAAACGTTCCTTGCTCATTACATTAGAAAATAATCTAAGTGTTCATTCGGTCACTGAGAAGGAATTCGATTCCTGAATATTAACCGAACTCCAAAGACTAGAACGATTAGGCAGAGCGAGACCCACTTGCCGCACCGTGGTGTTACCCCAGAGCGAAGTCCCCACCAAAGTCAAAGTAACAGATCAGATCCAGTTCCAAGGTGGTCAGGTCAGCAACCACCTGCCGACCGACGTGCTGAGCAAACCCAGCAGAGTATTTTACTCCACATTTCAGTCATTCCCTTTACATACTCAATCATTTTTCCTCGGTTCTTTAAAGCATATTCTCCTGAGTCTGCAGCTGAGGTGATTAACTCCTTCCGACATCTCAGCCTCTTTACTGGTTTAGTCCCGTCCTACCACCTTTTGCCCCACCAAAACTTTCTACATGGCTCTTTCAGACACGTTTCCTCACGCTTTTCCCTCCCTTTCTCTCTGCTCTCCTCCAGCACAGCTGACGACTCACCCACCGTTCCCTGAGCAGCGAACACTCTCTGTTTTGATCCCAGTTCCTTCCAAATCAAGCGCCCAACCCCAACCCTTCCCGCAAACACCACTCGCTTCTTCATCCTCAGCAGCCAGGCAGGTGAGGCAGCCCCTTCGGCTGTCTCAGGAAAGCACCTCACCTCGCTCTTCGCAAACACGAAAATTAATCGTTGTTCTTTTTGCCAACCCCGACGCTCTCACTAGTTCTGGGAAAACACATCATAAAATAAAACGCCACCCGCGCAAGCCCACAGGATCATACCCACCACCCTCCGCAAGCCAAATCCCCGAACCCAACAACAGGCAACGCAGCACCACAGGTTGGAGGCGGGTGGGGGGGGGGAAAGAAGGATCCGGTGGGTGAGGGCCTCCTTTGTGCACCCCAAATCGGATGAGTTATTTGACAGCT